AGCGTGGACTGCTCGGCTTCCCCACGGCTCAGCTCCTGACCTCTGCCTCCAAGTTCCGTGGTGAGATACCTCCAGAGCGATCATCTTTCTTCAGACCCCTCCAACAACCTCTGGAGTCTGAATTCTACCTAGCATCAAAATCTCGCACCTCAGATCTCAGGGAGAGCAGGTTGTGAGGCCTGCCCCAGCCGTAGAGGCTGGAACACGGTTAGGGAGTCTGGTGGCTGATAGGGAAGCCCATTTTTTTGATAGAGTTGAGGAGAACCCGCTTATACCCAAATCTATTCACCCACAATTTTATGTTTTTCTCCACTTCAACCCGGGAAGTGAAATAAACTTTGTAAAATGAAAATCAATGCACCAAACTGTAGAGATGGCTCCGCAGTTAAGAGCATTTGCTGCCCTTCCAGAAGTCCGAGGTTCCATCCCTAAACAAAATTTAAAAATCTTAAAAAAGAAAGAAAATCAATACAGGATAGCTCATCTTATCAATGTGAATTAATCCCCAAAACATAATGTGGAGAGAAAAAAGTCAGTCACACAGAGAGACAAGGACTGTGATTCCATGTCTATTAAGTTCAAAAACAGCCTTCCAAAAGGGTCTGGATTTTCACTATAGAGAAATCTATTCATTATTGTAAAGTATAGCTGTATATATCAGTAGATGAAATCTGGGTGCCACTGATAATACACAGTGACCCTCTGTGGCTTTAGTCCATATTTTAAAGGAATTCAGAGATGAAAGGACAGGCTGTATAGTAATATTCACATAGACATACAAACACGCACACACGTAAAGAAGTGAAAGCATTCTTCAGACCACATACACAAATACTAGAGGATCTGAGGTGATAAGAAAGAACGTTGTGTGTGTTAGTCAAGGTGACGTGACCATTGAGTAGTGTTCCATTCATGGAACTAGTTAGTCCTTTCTAAAAACCACAAAATTGTTATGTAATTTGAAAGTGTGCATTTTTCCTAATTTAAGAATGAACTAAATCATGTGTACGCATATGCATATTGAGGCTACAATGGAAAGTTGGACCCAGAACCCTGAACCTTGCTGCCACTGGCTTTTTTATTTTATTGTATTTTTCAAGACAGGGTTTCTCTGTGTAGTTTTGGTGCCTGTCCTGGATCTCACGCTATAGACCAGGCTGGCCTCGAACTCACAGAGATCGGCCTGCTCTTCCTCCTGAGTGCTGGGACGAAAGGCGTGCGACACCACTGCCCGGCACCACTTGCTTTTATGAGCATATGTCCCTATAGGCCAGTGGTTCTCAAACTGTAATCCTTTGGGGATTGAGCAACTCTCTGAGGGGTCGCCTAAGACAATCAGAAAACACAGATATTTACATGATGATCCATAACAGTAGCAAAAATTCTAGTTATAAAGAAGCAACAAGAATAATTTTATGGTTAGGGGTCACCACAACATGAGGAACTGTATTAAAGGGTCACAGCATCAGGAAGGGTGAGAACCACTGGTCTAGGCAGTGCTGTGCATAGAGAGGCTTCCAACCAAAAAAATGTATTAGCTTATAGGATCATACCTGCAGACCACGGAAGATATTTCAACCTTTATTCTCTGGCAAGGGCTTTGCATGCAATCATGTACAAATGTATTTGTATGTATTAAAAACATTTTTTGGCAGGACTGGGGATTAAAGCTAAGGTATTATGCGTGCTAGGCTTTAGTTAACAGTCTACACTGGGCTATATTCCCAGGCTACTCTCCTTTTTGAGAAAGGATCCTGTTACGCCTAGGCTGGCCTTGAATTCATAACCCTCCCACCTCAACCTTCTTAATTCTTAGATTACAAGCATGTGTGAACATGCCCAGCCTAAGGCTATAAAATCAAGGATGAATTTGAGTGACCACTAAAATTCCAGGATATATGCTTGCCACACCATACCTAAGCTTGAGCTTCTAAAACTTAGAGAAGGATCTCAAAAATTAATCATAAAAGCCATGAAAAACTTATGTAACCATGGGTGGGGAGGCCGGGGTGTAGCTCCGTGACAGAGTGCTTACTTAGCATGCTTGAAGCACTAGATTCAACTCTTAGCACAAAACCAAAAAGTATTGAGCAACACTCTAAGAAATGTTAGCAGCAACCTCATCAGCTAGAGATTGACGCATCTCCCGGCTGCTGTTCTTGTGGTCCTCAGGAGTGTCATGAGGACGTCTGTATTTAGTCATTTCTCAATTACTTATTGGCTAGCTACTCACTGTGCTAAGAGCAGACGATTCAGAAAGAGAGAATGGTCTCTGTTTCCCCTTGCTTAGCCAAGAGTGGTGACAGGATTATCGGTATTTTTTTTTTTTTAAAAACTTTATTATTTTTAATGAGGGGTGTCTGTTATGGGGGACTATGCAGGTGTCCATGGAACCAGAGGGGTTGGATCCCCGGGTCCCCTGGAATTAGAGACAAAGGTAGTGGTGACCCACCTGATGTGGGTGCCAGGAACAGAACTCTGGTCCTCTGGAAGAGCAATGAATACTCTTAACCACTGAGCCATCTCTCTGGCCCCAAGACAGACAGTTTTAAATAATTCATTATGGCATAACACACTGTAGTGATAGACACACTACTTTGGAACTATAAAGTACCTGCTCACTCTGCCAGAGGAGAATAGGAAAAGAGTCAGGAAGAGACTTAAGGGGAATTAAAAGTCCCCGGACAAAAAGGAAGGAACAGCCCACACAAAGATGTGGGGTGAAATAGTGCCCTGGGGTGATGGCCAGCAGTGAATCATGACTAATGCTCAGCATCTGTGAAAATGAGGATGACGATCAGAACCCAGAAGCCAGATTATCAGCTGCGTGTGTTAGCTGAGGAGTTTGGGCTTTATAGATAGGCAGAAGCTACTGGAAGACTTCAAGCAGGGGAGTGGCAGGATTAACTTCGCACTTTAGAAGGATCTTTGACTGAGGTGTGAAGGCAGGGTGGAGAAAGTGAAAGTGGAAACTTCGAAACTAACCCGATGAAGGACATTGCAGACCCAATTATGAGCAGCAGCTGGGAACGGATGATTTCTCTATTTCTACGGAGGGATTCTGTCCCGTGCTCCAAGATTCCAGGGGCAGTGTTTCCAGGGCTCAGCAAGTGAAGGCTATGTGAAGGTTTGGTGAATTAGGCAAAATAACTCAAGTAAAACAAGCACACATCAACAGGCGCTGGGTGGTTCGGTTCGTTTGTTCATACATTAGTCTGTTATTTATTCAGCTGAAGCTCATGGAATACCTCCCCTGTTAGGAAGTCAGGCTTACAGGTCTAGGGATTTAAGAGCAAGCTAATGAGTGGTAAGAGATGTTAATGTGCTTTCGTTGTAAGGCAATGGGCAGAATGGTGTTCCCCAAGCTGAGGAGTGGGAAGCCTATAAATATTTATTTTATACAATTTATGCCAGTGGGAAACAGCACCGAACAAAACACTATAACCCCCATAAGATTAGCATGTTACATTCCCAGAATTGGGTAACAATCGGCTTCCAGAATGCACAGGATGGGTGGAGAACAGTTAGCTTGGCTGCAGTTTGCTTAGGGACCGGAAAGAACCAGGAGATGAAGCACAGTGAGGCTAGTTGGTGAAGTCTTTCAGCTCCTAAAACAGTGGTTCTCACCCTTCCTAATGCTGCACCCTTGGATACAGTTCCTCATGTTGTGG